TGTTTTCTGTATCTGATGTTTGGCTTTTATATATGATTTTTATAGTTTACAAGCACAATTTTAGAATAGTCAGCAGTGATGAGAGCACCACCCACGGAGTCCCATATGACTATTTGTCCGTGATGCACTATGGCAAAGATGATTTCACCAATGGCAATGGATCTACAATTATCACCAAAGACCCCAAATTCCAGAATCTTATTGGTCAACGAGTGGAAATGAGTACTAGAGATGTTCAGGAGCTGAATCTACTCTACAAATGCAGTAAGTGCTTAAAGAGTATGGGGACCAGCATCCAGTTTTAGGAATACTCTGGGATTATTGGTTAAAGTTACTAAGAACACCATGAGAATATTGTGCCCTTAACCAATAGAAAGTAACCACGTGACCCGTTTTCTTTCTCACACTCACATTTGTAAATAGTTTTTACATTGTTTTTAGAATTACTACGCGCATTTAAAATTAGTAGGGCTCTTTACTGGGGTTTTTTACTTATATTCATGAGGCCATAAATTTATATATTATTGAATTCCAAAATATCTGTTATGATCACTTTTTGAACTGGCACAATGATCAAGTCTATTTGTTTTAAGAAAAGTTCAACAAGTCACAATTATGATTTGAAAATGGTTTAAACAAACAGACAACCATGCTCATATTCGCACCTATGGCCAATTTATAATCAGCAAATAGTCTCACCCCATTTGTTTAATTCATACAAAAATCAACATACCGGGATTGCTATATGTCAGGCTGCGATTTCAGCAATATCATGGGTACTCCAATAATCAACTTTCTGTTGCTCATTGTCAGTAATTAACTAAGCCTAAAAGTGCTGAATGTGTGTAGAAAATTGCTCACGTCGAAACAATTCACTCCCTTGAGATGACAGTTTTGTGAGTTGACAATTTTGCCTTTTCCCTCCAATCTTCCTTGGAAAAAAAACCTTGCGCTTTTAATTCATCTCTACAGGCTCATCCATTGCCTTTAAGATGTACTGTGGCTTTACTAATGGGACCATGTGTCAAATGAACCGCTGTTCAAATAGTGGCAATGGCTGGGAAATGGTAACTGGTGTTTATGGTGGTCCCAGCTCTGACCACACCAATCTGCCCAGTGGAAATGGTGGTCAAGGTAAGGTTTCAAATATTCTGTTTTTTTATTGCAGTTTTTATTACAGTTTTAAATGGAAAATCTAGTTTTCCACCTCAGCATTACTAACATAAAAAGTAAGCTGCCAGAGATAATAATAAATACTTTTGATACTTAAGACTTAAAGATCTGATGTAAGATCATTTTGAACAACATTGTAGGTCAGGATGCAGGTTACTTCATGTATGCTAGCACAGAATCAGGTCAGGAGGGAGACTCAGCCTGGCTGGAGACAAAGAGGATGAGTCCCCAGAGGAAGTGTCATGTCCAGTGTCTGCAGTTCTACTATTACCACAATGGGAGCCAGACAGACAAACTTAACATCTGGATCAGAGAGTTTCAAGATGAATGGGACTCCACAGGAACTCGCTACCTCAAGGGACAGATCAGTGGTAATGAATCATTTGCGTGATTATTTATGATGATTTTCTCCAGATGAAGTATAAATGTTTCATATTTCACATTTTGTCATGAAGACATACCTCACATTCACCTATTAATCTAAAAATTCTAACTTCAGGTCCACCAACATCTCGCTGGACTCTCCACCATGTTCCTCTAAATGCCACCAAGCAGTTCCAGGTGGAGTTTGAGGTGCGTAAAGGAGCAGGAAACTCTACAGGTGGCTTCTCTATTGATGACATCAATCTGTCAGAGCTCGAGTGTCCAGATGGAACCTGGCAGATTAATGATTTTGAGAGATTTTGGAACAGTACTCATACTCCAGACTGGATATATAGCCCAAGGCAGTATTCCAGTGAGGGCTATGCTTACCGGGTAGCATTATATCTCCGCCAGACAGATTTTGGAGTATATGTGCAACTTGTCTCTGGTGTCTATGATGACCAGCTGCAATGGCCTTGCCCACAAAGGCAATTTACTGTCCAAATGGTGGATCAGAACCCCAACATCCAGCTACAAATGTCAAGGCAAACGAGTCTCACCACTGACCCAAATCTGCTCACCTCCACTGGTACGTTTGCAGAAACATGAAGTAATGCTTAAAAAAATTCTACTAACTAAATTATTAAACACTATGTTACATATGCTTTCTATAAACAGGTGTACCTGCTTGGGGCAAACCTCGTGATGTTGGAACTCAAATTGTTGATGAGAACAATGAGACCATCTATGTTAATAACCTGTATGGTAGATATAATTTTGCATCTTTGGAAGACATCAAATCCAGAGATTACCTCAAAGGAGGGAGTGCCATTTTTATCTTCAGTGTACAAGGCAAGTTTAAATATTTTCATTGCTAAATTTAAATATTGTACTTGAAACTTTTACAACAGAAATGCATGAAGTGATGCAAGTTTCTGTATACATATTTTGAATTTCTTCTTTCAATAGATCTCACTCCTCTAGTTAATGGAAGTTCACTGCCATGTCTTCAAGTGAGAACAGTGAATATTACACATCCTCCTGGAGACCAGGATAAAGGACCTTGCTCATCACGGTACACAATTTATTAAATTAGGATTCATATGAAGAGAAAACATATCATATGAAACAATATATAAATTCATAAGAAAATAGCAGTAAGCAGTTTGTATGTCTGTTGTTACTAGATCTGAAAGCTAGTGCACGCTAGTGGTAGAAACTCTAGCACTGACTTCTGCCCCCATGAAAGTTTTAATAGACCTCTCAAAAATGCTTTTACAGGATCTCAACCACCTCCATTCCAACTCCAAAAACAACAAATGACAGGTACTCCAATTTTCTCGAACATTTTTCTTTCAAACAGAAACAGAACTGTTATTCATGTAAAATTTTAGAGATACCTCTGAAAAATATGTTTTGACACTCTTAGGATCTCACCCACCACAATTCCAATTCCAGACACAACAGATGGCAGGTACTCCACATTTCTCAAACATTTCAGTTTTTTTTTAATAAATAGAATGTGTTTCTTGCAGCCAGAAACACTAAAACTCTTACACATATAAGAATTTTGACCTACCTGTTAAAAATACTTTGTTGTTTACAGAATCTCACCTACCACAATTCCAATTCCAGAGACAACAGATGACAGGTACACCAATCATCCGTTTGTAAGATTGTGTTGTTGTCACAAGCTGTAAACTCTATTGGACCTGAAATTTTAGACATTCTACTGCTGAACACGGTATAATTTTGTGCTCAACACAAAAAGCTTTATTTAAGGATAGTCATCAGCAAAGCTTATAGTGAAGCAGCACATGCAGAGGCTTGGTGTACCAATGGATGAATAGGGTGAGATGGTGAAAGCTGATCTGCAGTGGTGAACACTTAATTGAGTAGACAAAAGAAAAAGAAAGGAAGCTGTAATCATTTCAATATTTGATGCAGGATTTGAAATCAACATGTTATTTTCACATACATACCGTATAATGCTTTGACTTACACATGACCTTGCCCAGTGATGATGATGACACTAGTAATGCTAATATTAAAGTCTTTTGTCTCTGCCCATGTATTTCTTGCAAGGGTAATAATGATTTATGCAGTGACCCACAAGAATATAGTCACCAGCCAATCAGAATGTCTGTAATTCACATTTGCCATAATAATGAATTGTTTTCAGTACCAATGTGTAAAATTACAAGACAACTGAGTGTATTATTTGTTGCAGCTTACAGCCCACATAGATTATGCCCTGTAAAACACAACAGTGCTGATGGCGATGTACACCTTCTTCTGAAATGTATAACTCATTTAATTCCTTAATTCGTTTCTTTGTGTTTTAGCCTTTTTGGATTCTCTCCTGGTATGATGGCCTCTCCTTTCCTCACACTTCTGCTAGCGCTGCTGCTTTTGATACCCTGATGTGTATTTCATCCACATCTGGAATCTTTACATGAGCAGCACAATTGACGCTGCCAGATTACTTTTTGTTATTTTTGGATTTTGCTTCTGTATGACCTGATAACTATCTGTTCCTTTTTGATTTATTATAGATGTTTCTAATATAATGATTTGCTTTTTCGGTGGTGAAACCTTTCATTGTGGTTGTTGGTTTAATAATAATCATTTGCAACAATGTTTTCATTTTGTGTATACAATATAGTGGCTAAAATAAAGCAAGCAAAAAATATGTAAAATATGTGTAGCTTTTAAACTGCTTTTGACCAATATCAATTTATAATCATATGACAGTTTTGTTTACTGCAGTTTTCAATCATGTGCAGTCCACATAGTTTGAAGTTACTATAATATACTGTGTGTGTGGGGGGGGACTATACTACTATGATTAGCAACAATGTGCTTTCTTGGATGTTGGCGTACTGATGTTCAACAAAAATAAATAAATACCATTTAAAACAAAATGAAAATCAACAGAACACACTCTTCTTGTGATCAATTTAGCTTTATTGATTTTACACACATAATTTCTTTGGTTTGGCACCCGTGAACGACAGCTTTTCACACACTCCCCCCTTCTGTTCTCCCATCTCACTATAAAAAGGAATATCTCATTAGTCCAATCACCTCCACCTCCGCCCCTTGAGCTCACTGCACCACCCCTCCCCTGCAGCTGACCCAGGGACCACAGCTCCACCACACACAAACATTCTTGGTTCATGATTTTTTTCAGCGTTACTTCGATTTTAATCATTTGGCAGTGGTGAACATAATTTACTAAGATAGAGAAATTAATTATTTTGGCAATTTAGAGTCTAATGACTCATCATGGCAGCATGGAATCCCAGTGGTGATAGGATTAGGACAGGATCCCCAAGGGTCTAGACATTGGTAGTGGTGAAGACGAAGATGAGGACTGGAGCTCTGAATGACTTGGATATGGTGGATATGCTGAGGAAGTGGGTTGCATAAACGAGAATCTGAAAGGCAGAATGGAGGGCACTGAGACCACACTGAGTGCAGGTTGATTAGTTAAAAAAGGGACAAGAAGATGATTGAATTAGAGTAATGTCTGTACTGAGACTGACGTTTGTAATGAGCTTTTTACATAAGTGTTAACAGGATGTTTCTCTACCTCGGTAAAATGATTGAATGATCCAGACCAAACCATCAAAAGGTGGGGCTGATGTCACTTGGCAATATGAGGTATTATGTCTATCAAACACACACAGGCACACAACTACGCCAAAATGCAGATTGCACCTTTGTTGATTACTAGTCACTTCCTATAAAAGCTTAAGCTGTGACATTATTTTCGTACATAAGATACCTTTTGACTTTCAAGTGATGCAGGAGATATGCGTGACTAAACCATGACATCATGCAACTCCACTCAGGATCACTCATAATGCAGCGATTTTAACTCAACCCTTGGATGTATAAGTGAGTCAAAATGACCCTGTGGGGTTGTTTTTGCTTGCAATACTTTTGTAATGAAAAGTTGTAATTATTTCACATTCTAGCTATTTCTTAAAAAAAAACAACATCATGTTTTTGATATCATGCCATTTAAATATTTAAATTACCTTTAGTACATTTTACAACATTTTTGTTTTTGTTTTACTACCACAAACTTCCATAAGTGAGTCAAAAATGAATATGGAATTTCATGTGAACCTTTGATTCTTATCAACTGTCAGGAATATATACCTAATGGACCATAAAGAGTGTCACCGCTTAAGAAGAATATTTAAGAATATTTAATATAAACAGCTTTGTGCCATTTAGGGGTAGGTTCAAATTTGTAAAGTTCATGCCAAACAAGTCCGACTAGTATGGCCTAAAGACCTTCAGGGTTTGTGATGCATGCATCCTCTATGCATGCATCGATGGAATGGTTTATACAGGGAGACAAACAGGGGAAGAAGTACAGAAGAATCTGAGGGAAAACATTGTCCAGCAGTTGTGCAGTAGCCTCTTGTCTAGAGTCTTCTTGAGACACTATTGTGGGGACTCTACAATAGGACAAGGTCGGCATCCCTCCTCTGATGAAGCCTTCCAAATTCAGGAAGGTTTACAGAATATTGGTTTGCAGTGGCAGTCTTATCATGGTTAGCTATGTCAGAAAGAAAATAAGGGGAAGGGGAAGAACACAACTGATCACATTCTCATTCTACCATGGACAAGATGGTTGTCACCTACAACTGCACCTACAAATGTAAAACATAGTGATGGCCCATGGTGCTGTGGCACACCTTGACATTGGTTTACTTTCTTTTTCACATAACTGTAGGGGTGGAAAATACTGGCAGTTAGTTACTGTTCATGGAAGAATGTACACTATGCTGTACATTTGGGAAGAGATATGAAACTTCCTTAACTGCAACAGTGACTACTGTTTGGATTATTATATCAAGATAAAAGGTTAGCAAACTATGGCAGAGGTTTTTATCTTGATCTTTTTTTTTAACAAAGCAGTTTAAACGCACCAATGGTCACCAGTGATGTGTATGTATAGGGAAAGTTGTTTTCAGTATTACACATTCATGGTAAAAATACTAATAATACAGAATATTTTGGTAGAAATGCTTAGCTCATGGGTGGATATTGCAGGTTTTATGTATCAAATGCATCCTCTGATTCTTCTGCAGTTTTTTTATATATTCTGACTGTATATTTTTATGTGCTGTATCTGAGGTTGTATTTAAATAATTTTAGAACCTGGTAAGGACCACATATTTTTTATTTATTACATCTAGTGTAGATTTTTTATAAATCCTGTAGAGGGTAGATTAAATTGTTCATATCATGTTCGAGTGAAGCAATGTTAAATCCCACAACATCGCACGGAATTTCAGTCTTGCACGCTTTGGACCGTGGTTTGACAAAGGCATCCATCTCAGTCAAGTCGAGCAGCTGCCTCAACCACCCAATTTACTTTTTTGGTAAACCGAAAGAAGTAAATTGGGTGGTTGTTACATTAAAAAACTCTACCTTTTAATTTGAACACAAAAATGTCATGTTTCTATCTTGAACGTAATTAAATCATGTAGGATCTATATGAAAATTAACAACTTAATTTGTTCTTGTTGAGATGATCTGATACAATCCAGTAAGAGTGGTTAGTTGCTGAACTCATGAAATTAACAAGATCACATGAGAATTCAAACTACAGCAAAACACTGAAGTTATAAGAGGCAGAAAACTATACACACACCACGTGTATGATTGCTTGCACGTGTATGATATTGCTTTTTATTGTGGTTTAACCTGTCAAGGTTGAAAATGTAAAGAAAAATCTGCATGCCTTGAAATAATAGCTTTCCCACTTTTGGTGGTCCTATATTGGTGGCATGGTGGTTAGTGCTGTTGCCTCACAGTAAGAAGGTCCTGGGTTTAAATCCACAATTTGGCGTGAATGGTTGTTTGTCTCTGTGATAGACTGGTGAGCTGGCCAGGCTGTACCCTGCCTGGTGATCTATCACTTCAGGGTTATGCCCTTGCAACCAGGCTAAAGATAGGAGTATTGTAGTTGTTGCAGATCCATTTACTTTTTATGGTAACCAGACTCTAGACTTTGTTGAACATTATGTAATATAAAGACAACATGTAGTATTTAAGTGACCAAGTAGTACCGGGGTAAAAGTTATTGAATAGTGTTGAAATAAAATGACAAAATTGTGAAGGATTAAAATATTCCAAGAGCTCAACTTACTTCATCTAAACATGTTTCAATCACATTTTCTGAACACAAAATGTACAGGTTTATTGAATAGGAATAAGTTGTGTTGATTTAACTTATTTGTCTAAGTTTCTGCCAAAGTAAAACATTTGTGTGCAACCAATGTGCACTATTGAATCAAGTAAATCCACCATGGCCTTTTTTCCAGTGCAGAATAGAAAAGCAACCCTTACGTTGAGGTTTCCAGTATTTCTGGTTTATCATTGCATTTCTGCACAGAGAACATGTCACAGTACATTAGTCAGCAGGGCATTTGTAGGAACAGACCTGTATCTGTTTTACAACTTCTTGAAAAAAAAAGGCCCTGTTATTAACCCTGTTATTTGTTGAATCTAAAAAGTGTTAGAATACTGCTTGAATTTTTCTGTTTTTCTGTTTTTGCCAACAGCCGGTTGTAGTTTAGATTCTTGCCAGTAATAGATTAGTCAGAATCTGGTAGTAAAAAAAATGTGTTTCATTGTCTTTTAGACACATTTCAGTTTTATAAAGCAGAACTGTGATAAAGCAGAACTGTGATAAAGTAGCCGATTTCTGAATGCTTCCTCACAGAACAACTGTCTAGGCTGAACATGTCCTTACTCAGTGTGTGGCAAATGGTTTTATCCTTTTATCACAATACATATTCTCCTTATGCTCTTTATACCTAGTTTGTACTGCTATGTTGTTTTTTGAAGGAAACGTCTTGTATTATCTTGTATTATCTGTCAGACTGCAATTAACAAGTTACTTTGTGTGCTGATTGCTCTACCTTTTACTGTTTACTTGTTTACACCCTGTTAATTTTCCTGTAATATTCTGGAAGCCCTGGATGTAGAACACAAGCGCATAAAATCCACAGTGTCATCTTAGAGTAGAACAGACACTCAGTATGATAAATAACACATATGCAAAGAGATATGGATTATTGAGTGATCATTAGCTGCCTGGAACAGAAAGCTCCAAACAAGTCGAACAGAGAATCACTGGATCTGGATCTAGAAGCTTGTAATGGAGTATATAAGTACATTGTAGTTGCTATGGATCATTTCACCCAACAAGTCAGCAAAAACTGGAGCTGAAAAAATCTTTGTAGACTTTGTACTCAAGTATCATCATCAGGGAAATGAGTTGGCCATTATAGAACAATATTGCAGCATCCAAGCCTGACAGACAAAGCCTTGTTATACAACTGAAAACAGTTAAAGTTGAGAGATTTCATTAATCAGTCCTCTTTAAACATTTTTACAAATAAAAGAAAACAGAAGATTTGATGAAGTAGACGACTTAGATCCATAGCCACAGCCAACTCCCACAACAAAATATTTGTTTCACAGCAGAGACAGATGAAAGATAATATAGTACCTTAGGTCATCTATCAATTACACACATAAAAAAAGTATGTTCTCCACTAAGAGTAAAAGACAAAAGTTCATAGTCAAATGTTGAGTTTATTATTGTTATCAACTGTTGTTCATGTTTTCCTGGTAAAAACTAGGTGTGAAGTGGAATGTCTTTAAGTAATGCAAATACTCATGATTTGTTAATGTCACAGACATCAGATAACAGGAAATGATGATGTGGGCTAAAGCAGGACCAAATCTAGATAGAATATGCATGACTCCCTGATGTGTCAAGCACGTAGCTTTAGTGGTATAAAACTGGTTCTAACACTCCTGTCACAGGCACAACTTCTCATGCAGATGAGTAAGAGACAAGAGTGGCACAAGGTAAAGACAGGTTTCATATTTCTATAAGAACAAACATAAAGTTTGATATATATAAATCTTTAATATTTATATATTTTTTTAATTTTGTGATTGCTTTTCCTCATTCTTGGTAGAATCTCTCTAATCTATTGACTTAAGTTTCATCAAAGACGCACCATGAGGATGGAAGGATGTGCTTTTATTTTTGTGATCATGGCAATTTCTGAAGCATTCTCCTTAAACCTAGTAAGTGATTAGTTGCATAGTGATATTTCAGAAATCGTGAATATCAATATGCAAAGAGAACTTAAAGAGATTTTTTTTTATTATTTGTCTGGTTTGTTTTGTAATGAAGATCTTTGACAATAATATTGAATATTAAATATCAGCTACAAACAATGATTTTGTTTTTTCAAAAAAAAAAAGTTTTAATTTTGCATGTTGACCAACAAGTATAGTGTGTGTTTTCTATCAAAGCTTAAAATGTAAAAAAAAGAAAAAACAAAAGAAAAAACAAAAAAATACATTCACAGTACTACATAAAATATGTTAAATGATGGAACATTTATTTTAATACTACGTTGATATTTTTACAGAATGGACTAGAAATAGTGGGTAAGTTCTAATTTTTTAATTTTCCACATCATTTGATGAAATTTTCTTTTTTTTTTAAATATTAAAAAAAACTGTATACAAAAGTGCCTCATCTGTTTTTGTAGATGTTGGTGAAGAAAAGGACATTCCTGAAATAAACAAGGGTAAAGTTCAACATCTACTTATAACTAAACCTTTTTATAAGGAGATTTTTGTTCTTTTGGCTTCATGCAACTGTACTTGAATATTAGTGACTTGTTTCTCATTTTTTAAATTGTATTTTAGAATTTTTACATGATGATATTTTGGAGGTGAGTCTTTGTTATGAAGATAAAAATGTATTTATTCTAAAAACATCTGTGTGCATAGTAACTTACTGCATTATGTCACAATATACATGTTTCTTATACTTTAGCCAATAGGCAAGCAGAGGAGTACCATCATTAATGAAAGCATCCTATGGACACCTCCAGTCCCCTACCTCTTAAATAATGACCTTGGTAAATATGTGTTTTCTTACAAATACGCCTGAAAGAAATCTTTATTTCTTTATTCCTATGGGAACACATCTTTGTGATGTCATACCGGAAAATGCATTTTTTCCATGTCAGCTGGACTCTTTTTACACATAGAAGCCACATAATGAAAAAAAACAAAACAAAAAACAGCAGCATATGCGAGTGCACAGAGCTACTTTAATGGAATAGTTTTGTATCATCCAGTTATGCAAAGTAACCACCCACGCCTTTGCTAAAACCGGAAAAAATGTTTATAACTGTATGCTTTAGCGCCTTAGAGCAAAATGCATGGGCAAGGCAAAGGACCTTTATTGGTTGTCTAAAATATCTTCTTCTTTTCTTTTAATCTCTATAACACAACAACGGTAGACATTAATTCTAAAGGAGTCATTCTGAGAGCATTTGACCAGTTCAGATTGAAATCATGCATTGACTTCAAACCAAGGGACTCTGAGGACTATTACATTTCTGTCAAACAGTTAAATGGGTATGTTTTTTTCTGCTCTTTGTTGTTGTTGTCCTACTTAGCCGCAATTAGCATAAATATTCTAAAAATGACTATGCTGATTTTTCAATTAGATTTTTTGTTCTTTTAGTTTAATTTGTGATATATACAGGGGTGCACATAAGTCCGCAGGTGCGCATACGCTGTCAATATCAAAGACATGCACCAGATAAGAAGTTGCAACACACATTTGCGTGCATAAGATTTTCTGGAGGAGGGCAGACATTTGTTTAGAACTCTTAAAGATGTCGAAGAAGCAAGCTCCTTTAAGCAATTACTTTGGTGTCCCTCCACCTCCAAAGAAATGTCAGAAGGAGTCCGAACCGCAAAAGAAGCGTGTATTCTTGGAAAAGTGGTGCCGCTAGTTTCCACTCTAGCGGAAAAAAACAGTGCCTTTTATATAATATAAAAGGCACTGTTTTTCACTGTTTTTCAAGGCACTGGCTTTACTGTTTTTCATGGGATATTCTGCACCACATCTCTGTGCATTCATCATTTGTTTGAAGCCATCTCACCTTCTGCAACCACTTTTTCCACATTTTGTCACATTAAAGCCACAAACATGAATCAATTTTATTGGAATTCCACGTGAAAGACAAATACAAAGTGGTGTACACGTGAGAAGTGGAACAAAAATCATACATGATTCCAAACATGCTCCATCCATCTTCCCATCAACTCTGACC